CCTACACGCTCCCAAACGGTGGCAGGTACTATAGGAATCACCCTGTATATAAAGTTCAAAAGGCTGTAACTTTTGATCTAGTAGTCCAATCTTGGAACTGTTTGAAATTATGGATTCTACGGGTCAAACTCTATAAGAAAATGTTTTTTCCCGGTCGATCTGAGGCAATTTTTTTTTCCGGCCTCAAAAAAAGGCAGTGTACAACCTTCCTTTTTTACCACAAATCGACTGCCCCAAAATTTCTCGGGAAAACACTTTTTCTTATTAATTTTGGTGCGTAGAATCCAAAACGATTCGTACTTTTTCGATCCGACTTCTCAATCAAAAGTTATGGACTAGAAACCAATTTCGAAAGAAAATTCAAAGGGCTGTAACTTTTGAACTAGTAGCCCAATCTTGGAACTGTTTGAAATTATAGATTCTACGGGCCAAACTCTATAAGAAAATGTTTCCCGGTCGATCTCAAGACAATTTTTTTTTCCGACCTCAAAAAAAGGTAGTTAATTACCTTCCTTTTTTACCAAAAATCGACTGCTCCAAAATTTCTCGGGAAAACACTTTTTCTCACTAATTTTGGTGCGTAGAATCCAAAACGATTCGTACTTTTTCGATCAGACCTCTCAATCAAAAGTTATGGACTAAATACAAATTTCGACAATATAATATATACACTCGATGTTATTTTTGTCAAAATATCAAGTAGCGGTAGAAACAAAAAAAAACAATAAATAAACAATAAAGCTACTTGATATTTGGATGAAAATAACATCAAGTAGAGCATTCATACGCTACTTGATTAAAATGTTAGTTTACTTTTTGATAGGGAAATTTAAGAAAAACGAAATAAAAAAGAATGTTTTTAGGATCTCAATAATAAAAAAAAGTTGTTTCAAAACCCGCTCATGGATGTTACTGCGTAACACTACTGCAAATGACGAGTAACGGGCAAATATAGACCATAGCAGCTATCAATTAGCGAAAACCAGAAGTCTCTAGGTGGCCCAGGGGCCGAGATCTCGATGGAAGAGACAGACACAGACAGACAGACGAAGGAAAATCGAGCACATAAGCGTTACCTCAACGTCTTTGTGTTAAAACGGAACAAAGCTTCGTCTCCGGCGGCTGCGCCACCTCGCCTCGCCCATTTCTTAACTTATGGCATATTCTTGAGTCTGCTAGCTACGTTACCTCGCTGGGTTACTTAAATAATTTAAAATATAGTCGCCGAATCGCCTGCTACTCCGCCTCGCCTCGCTCTTGAAAAGGAAATGGGACATAGCTTCGGCTTCGGCGGCTACGCCGCCTCGCCTCGCCCTTTTCTTAACTTATGACATATTCTTGAATCTGCTAACTACGTCACCTCACTCGGTTCTTTACACAATTTAAAATGTAGCGTCTGCATGGCCAGCCAGCCATGCCGCCTCGCCTCGCTCTTTAAAAAAAGAGTTCGAACAAATGAAAGAATTTCAAGAAATCGAACTATTTTTATGATTTTATAGGAATTGCTGGGACAATTCGAGTTGGCTTTGGTTTGCACAAACTATCCAAAAACAATTGCTACCTTTGGTTGTGTTTTTTTTTTGTTATTTGTTCAGAGATAGATAGTGTCGGATATCGCACATAGACGACAGGATGCCACCAAAATTGTGCCTCAATGCCTATTTTTGCTAAAATCCTCGCAAAAGTTTGCTAAGTAAAGGGGAGGTTCAAGGTGAATTAGCACCATTAGTAACGACGGGTGGATTACCTTTTACGATCGGAGACTAATGTTGTATTTTTGGTCTCAATATGTTACTGTATAACTGGCATATTTTTCCATATTCATTGCTGCATCACTTGCAAATCACGTTTTCGGTGTTTTTTGACTCCAATTGTTTTAAACAAAATAAATATAGTCATCCAAATTTCATCAAAAACAAAATTTGGAGTGTAGCGCAGTAGGCTGCTTTTTTCGGTTTCATTTTCAAACTAAAACAAATTAAAGCAGAGAGATAAAAGACACCTTTCAAACGTACTATTACTTTTTAAAGATTTTTAAAGATTCCGGATTTCCACAGTCGATTTTGAGGTGTTTGAAAATTCCAATTTATCTCGCGTCTTTTATTCAAGATTTCGGCTTGAGATTCGATCTTGTCTAAATGTACCTCAAGTTTTTTAAGTTAAATTGTGATTGTAGTGATTCTAATTCGATCTTTCCTAATATTCAAGATTTCCGTTAGCAATCTTGAGCAGTTCGAACCTTTAAAGATCGAAGATTTTTTTAATCCGCTCTTTCCTAAAATTCAAGATTTTTGTTAGCGACATTGAGCAGCCTGAACCTTCAAACGTCGTGCGTTTTCAAGAAACTAAAGATCGAAGATTTTTGAAATTCGATCTTTTCTAAAATTCAAGATTTCTGTTAGCGACGACGCGCGTTTTAAAGATATTAAAGATCAAATATTTCCGAAACTTTTCTAAAATAAAGATCAACATGATTTGTTTTCTAAAATTCAAATTTACCTCGCCTTTTTTGACGAAGTTGCGATTATAGCAAATATTTTATAAAACGATTAAAATTTATAGGCGTAACTTCGATCTTCGCGCGTTTTAAAGAAATTGAAGATCAAAGATTTTTACATTCGATCTTTTCTAAAATTAAGGATCTCGGCGATCTCGAGCAGTCTGAATCTTGAAACGTGCCGCTTGTTTTAAAGATCAAGATGTGTTAGATACTTTGTTTTCTAAACTTTCAAATCAGTCGCGCGTTTTTTGGGCAAAGTTGCGTTTGTGGCCATAATTTTGTATACTTAAGTGAATCAAAATTTATATTCACAAATTCGATCTTTTCTAAAATTCGAGGTTTCTCCCAGCGATCGTGGGCTAAAACTTCAAACGTGTCGCGCGATATTTAAGATTAAAGAATTCGATCTTGAGCAGTCCCAGCCATTAAACGTCGCGCGATTTAAAGATGGCGATATTGACCAGTCTGAACCTTCAAACGTCGTGGGTTTTAAGCAAATTAAAGATCAATCAATTTCGAGATTTCCCAAAATTCAAGATTTCTGTTGGCAATCTTGAATAGTTAGATTCTTGAAACGAGCCGCTCGTTTTAAAATAGAGATCAAGATGATTTAGTCTTTGTTTTCTAAAATTCAAATTCACCTCAGGTTTTTTTGACGAAGTTGCGATTATCCCAAATATTTTATTTTTATCATTATTAAACTTTATATGCATAACTTCGATCTTTGGTAAAAATTCAAGATTTCTGCTAGCAGTCTGAACGTCGCGTCGCGCAAACAATTCGATCTTCTCTAAAATTTAAAATTACCTCGTGCTTGTCATTTCATATATCATTTTATATATTGAATGTGAAATTTAAGTTTTCTACTTTTGAGACGTTTCAAACGTTTCGTCCATTTTAAAGACGTTTCAATTTAATCGCGCGGCCTTTGGGCAGCAATTGTTTCAAAAATTTCAATTATTTAGATCAAAAAATTTCGTCGTGCTTGAAACTGCGCACGCGTGTCGTATTGAAGATCTAAAATTTCGATCTGTTCATCAAGATTCAAGGCTTGCTGCGAGCAATTTTCAGGTGCTTTCGAAGCTTTTTAGATTCATTTGCTAGAAATGAAAATTTCCACCAAAAAATTGAATCCAAGCTCGCGTCTTTTGCGGAAGTTGCAATTGTTCAATTCTCAGAGGTATCTAGATCTAAGATTCTGCCGTGAAACTTTTAAAGATCGAAATTGTTACAAATTAGAGATTGATCCAGATCTCCAAATGCTAAAATGCAAACTTGTCACGCGTCTCACGGGGGAAGATTAATCTTTCTCAAGATTTCTAACTAAACTAAAACACTAATCTGTTACATACAGGGTGCTTCAAGTAGGTATAATGCGATTTGATTTGGTGCGTTTTTGTTTAGTGGGTCACGCAAATTGGCTACATTTTTACGTCGGCGGGCAACTGTTGAATTGGCAAAATTTGCGCGAATCCAATCCAGATGTGTAAAACGCGAACAAAGTAGAAACAAAATAATCGGCCCAGTGCTGCCAATTGCAGGTGGTAGGAGCGAGACATACATGTGGAAAGAGGAAAGAGTGCGGCAAGTAAATATGTGTCAGAAAGAGAGAGTTTATTTTATCTCTGTATATATACATATACAATATTATTGATTAACTAAGCCGAAGCCCCGACGTTCATCTTTTATACCCCTTACCCCTACCACTCGATCTTACCCCTCGCATCCCTACACCACGTATTTTATATTTCCCTCTCTCTTTTTTGATCTGTGACTTTAGATATGTTCGATACGCGTTTTTGTTAAAATTGGAACTAAAAGGCTCACACGCGTGGAAATGGAAAATAAATGTAACAGGTGAAGAAGCTTACTTTCCGAGCGAATTAACATAAGTCTTACAGTGCGATTCCATTAAACTATTAGACACTAAGACGGACTTAATTCGCCGTCTTTGTCTATTCTCATGTTACATTTTAAAGAAAACTCGTGTAAGTTTTGAAGTGCTATAAAGGGTTAAATTACATAACGAACTCGATAGGTGCTGCCGTCGACAGCCCTTACGGATCGTATCCGAACTCTTTTTACGACTGCGATTATTTATTACCAATATAGTCATTATTTATACCTAGAAAGGCCCATCGCACTATAAAATAACGAGTCGGTGACATTTTTTATGAAGCACTAAACTTGGACTGAGTGGTTATTAAGAACTTAATAGACCCTAAATATCAATGTAGACGATAAATTTTTTTTTGAAACTTTGTTTCAAAAAAAAAGGGGGTCACCATTTTCGTGTTTACAAACTTTGGTTAGTGTAAACAGTTACCTACCACCCGAATATTCTCGTACGCACGCGGTCACGAGGTGTTAATTCAGTTTTAGCAGCCGGTCGAAATTCCGATAGTTCCACTTTGGAAACTTTGCGTCAAAGTTGGCGTTTGATCCCGGCAAAGTTTCGTTTGACGCGCGCCTTTAGAGAAATATATAAAAATGTGTGTACCTGCTGCCAGAATTGCGCCAGTAGATAAATCCGTTCTTTTTTAAAGAGCCAATCCATAGACTGCATAGCCTGAAGGTCCATATCCGCAGGGGGCGGTATGGAGGCCGTTGCCGTAGGCTGCATGCGGATCCTCTCTTCTACATCCGCCAGTGCTGGGGTCTTAGCTAGGAACGCCGTGGTGAACGCGGGACTTAACCCCAAAATCACCCACTTGACCGCGACAACACCATCACTGGGTTTACTAAGAGCCCCTTCACTTCATTCACTTAATTGGGCTTACAACTACTACTGTCACTTGTTTTTGGCTACGACAACGACGATCATCATTTGTTTTTGACACAAACAACACACGCACTCATACACAGAACACAATGGAATAATTAGCCGGTGGAAGCTCTCGATGTCTCATCTTTGGATGAAGCTTGACGTGCCTAAAGTGCTCTTTTTTGTGTCTTAGAAATTCGATTCAAACGATCTCGCGTGTCTGAAATACATCGAACTTTAGCACGCAAACACAATTTTTGATCGAAAATGTCTTTCACACAAAAGTAATTTCGGGTCGAATGTATATAATTATATTTCGATATCGTGTCACTGGGATTTTTTTTTCTCTCTCTCTGCGGCTAAACTTTTTTAAAACTTTGTTTTCGGAAGCACTTGTTTGGAAGTCACTGTGGAAAAATGAGGGAACGCACAAAAGTGAAAAGTTTGACGGAACTGATAACGAAGTGCTGACAGACAATCGCTTAATCTACGCTCTCGCGTGTCTTCGTCGGGATGATCACCCCAACACTGAGTCATGAGAGCAGCATGCATGGTGCATCACAGTAGGCGCCTATTCTGTCCCACTCGCGCCAACTACTGTTTCATCAAAGGCTCCGCCTTCATTGTTGATCGTAGGCGCCAACTGACGGTGGCTTAAAGAAATTCACGGAGCGTCTCCTTTCACTCTCACTCTAGCCGCCTCGTATTTCGTTCTCGTTCCTCTGTACGACCACATAGACGACCAATACTGAAGCAAAAGGCTAAGATATATTCTTTTTGGTTAAAAATCGAAGTATGTTCTATGTGCGCAAATCGCACGCCACCCTACCCCTTTAACTGCTTTTTCTTGTGACTGATGTTAAGGGATGGTGTCATTTGCGCATGAGTCGCGCGCTTCAAATTCTGATACTTCTTGAGTGATTTCGAACACATTAGCCCGGCGTTTCTTGCGGCGAACACCTCTAAAACTTCGCCGAATGCACCCACAATATTATGCACATCATTGCGGAATGCGACCGATTTCGTCGATTATCGACAGAAATGCACGTGCAATTTTTACTTTCCGAGATAACTAAACGCGAACGCAATTACATGAAAATTTAGGAGGTTGCTATTTTTTATTTACGATTTATGGGATTTTTAGATTGGAATTCGTATTCTGCTTACCCAAGAAAACCCTTGTGTTGACTTTTATTGGGAATTTATCGGTATCAGAAGCAAATTGAGTTTTACCCGTTGTTTTTTTTAACATATGACTTACTAGATCTCTTACAAAAGCAATTGTTTTAAATGTTTTCTTCGGGGTCTATGACTATGCCCTTGTTATGAAAATGTGAAGGAGTTTTTTTGTGAGTATAATGCACGGTTAACTAAATCCTAAAATCTTAACACAAAAATAATGTCATATAACCAATTGCAGTTGTTGTGACTTTATTACAAAGGCCTTCCTTCTTGATAGTTACATCAGATGCCAAAAAATCATTCATTAGATGTCATTTTCGAACTGTTTAAGTATAAAAGTAGGTAGTCTAGGTTATAGATGCGTATTTTTTGTTTCTAGTCTTTCAATTGTTTCCACAAACGGTTCGAAAATAAGGATTAAAAAGGCATTTAATTTATTTATTTTGTCCTGTCGACACAGTACAGAATTTAAAAAAAAAACAACTAAAACTAACCACTTTCTTATGCTCATTGCATTTGCGACCCCGAAATGAACTACTTACAAAATTTAAAATTGGTTGATTTTTATTGGCAATTGATCGACGAAGATTAAAAATCGAAATGCGAATCTGCTTATTTTCCTATTTACCCAGTGAGTCTGGTTTTACGGCCCCGCAATTCTCACTCGAATTGTTTTTTGCACGGGTAACTAGATATCTTACAATTGTTATATTTTCTTCTGTGTCTAGGGCTTTGTTATTTTTAAGTTGTGAAGCGTCTGTAATGCGGTTTTTTCATTTTTTTTGTAAATAAGGCTCAGCTAATCAAAGGTCTCGCTAGTCCAATGTTTTAATATTCTTCCGTTGTTAATAGCTTAGTTTTTGTGAACTTTATAAAGAATTGGCAAATGGCAATTTCATACAGTGTAATCAAATTATTCCAACCAAGATTCAATTTTTAAGGTATACACTGTGTCCAAGATAATGATGTGTATGGTCAAATTATAGAGAAAAGATACGCAATTAAAGAGCTTTCAAGAAAACCAGAAAATTCCGATTACTTCCGAAGGTATGCCAAAAAAACCGAAATTTGCCGAGTTTGTTTTCATTTTTATCTGATGTTATCTATTTATTTTATTTTTTCATCCGCCCCGCAAAAAAAGGCATACAAAAAGAAACAAACCGTTGGTTTCAACAGGATGGTGCACCCGCGCACAACGCCTGTCGGACATATTTTCCATTTTCCATTTGGCCGATAGGTATTCTCGCACGATTATAGGGCGTTTTACGCCGGTGCACCATCTTGTTCAAACGAACAGAGTAATTACCTATTAGAAGTGCGGGTTATATGCAAAAATTGAGGTGGTTTTCAATAGTTTAAATTGTAAAACGTAACTGTCTCATGAAAAATGAGTAATAGGTAGTCAATTTTTTACCTTCCGTGCAAATAAACTTAGTTTCTTTCGGAAAAATCCCTTAAAAAGACCAACAATGGTTTCGATAAGAAAAAAAAACAACTTTGTATTCTATTTTGAAGCGGGGAAACGCATACAAATGGTTTATTTTGGAAAATTACTATTTGGAAACTATTTCATTAAAATAAATAGTAGCATCTTGAATGTGGGTATACATACACTACCGGGGGCTGTGGGGGATATGGAATACACCCTAGTTATTGCTCCAATAGTAACCATGACATTTAAGTGTTGCTTAAAATTTCCACGAGAAGGTCACTTTGACCGCAATCTTTTTCCATTTTGAAGAGGGGGGGCATACATAAAAAATTCGGTTTCGAAATTGACTCTTTAGAAACTAAACAACAACTCATTAAAATAAATAGTAGGTAATATTTTGAATGTATACACAATTGAGTTTTTTAAATTATTTTCGGGGGCTGCCAATAGTTTTTTTAATTGAATTTGATACAATTTGTCCTCCTAAATTCAATGATTAATATCAGAGTTACTTTTGGTTGGAATTTTTCATACGAAAAATTAAAGAGGCTAATTTTTCAAAATTTTGTAGCATGCCGTGGAAACAATCCTCTTTACGCATCGAGTATGTGTAATAGAAATAGTGAAAAATTTTATAGCATGCCATGGAAACAATCGTTTAATTGCTGTCATTGCGCTTTTGTGTGGTTCTTTGTTCATGGATTTCAACCAATCAGAGCTGGGCAGTATTCGATTTTGTAAATACTTTTTAGTATTCAAATCTTTTAAAGTATTCAAATACTTTGTAATTAAATACTTTTATGGAAGCAGTATTTGTTTTTGTAACTCAAATACTTTCACAAATATTTAGTATTCGAATCCTTCGCAAGGTATTTGAATACTTAACCTTCCTTTTTACCAAAAATTGACTACTCCAAAATTTCTCGGGAAAACAATTTTTCTTATTAATTTTGGTGCGTAGAATCCAAAACAATTCGTACTTTTTCGATCAGACTTCTCAATCAAAAGTTATAGACTAGAAACCAATTTCGAAAAAAAATTCAAAGGGCTGTAACTTTTGAACTAGTAGCCCAATCTTGGAACTGTTTGAAATTATGGATTCTACAGGCCACATTCTATAAGAAAATTTTTTT